GCTCTTTGAAGAATCTATATCTCCTCGTTAACCGAACTTAGCATACAAGCGACCGAAGGCTATCGTTGCCCGGTGCTGAGTAACGACGACATTATGCAAAATTGAACGCTTTTGTTATGAAAGCTAGATATTTGAGATTTCGAAATTAAATATTGAAAAACTATCGTATATGTTGAGCTGTGATATCTCTCTGTAAATACCGTTGTCGCTTGTCTTGATTCTGTGAACTTTGATGTTTTATACAGAGTTTGGTCTCGAGTTAGACTTCCTTGAAAACATTGGAACGACTGGCGCAGATCACGAAGTGAGTAAATTAACACAATATTTGGTTGTCATAGACGTATTTCTGTACTACTATTGAAAAATCCAAAGTATGCCGTTCTGTTTCGCAACTGTGTTTCATACATACAATTTTTCCTTCGCGTTGTACGAAAGGTGAAATCATTTCTCCCTTGGTGCAGTGAATATTATGAAATACTTGCGATGATATAAAAAGTAAAAGCATGTTTTCTATAATATAGTTTCATTGTAATCAAATATCTATCGGATATTCATTTCCGATTTCTCCGCTCGTTGACAATTATTGTGGTCGTCTTCTTATAAATAATGTATTGTTTCGAAGATTTTAACTGACTTTGCATAATGTCTCATGAAATAATTTGACATCCGTGTATATTCGTGTTGTAAACTCCACACGATTATTTTGATTTCAACGTCGTGTGTATAATGTATTAACAAAAGTGAGGATTTTCCGAAGCGAAGTGTTTATTCTAAAGTCATTTAACTCAATGTAAGTAATGTTTACCATTTGAAGGAAGTTTCTGGGCAAATGAATCAACAACCGTTTAATCTTAACGGCAAATTTTTGTCGTTTCTTCTTTAATTTTGCTGGAAAGAAGTGGTCAGGAATCTGCAATGTTTACAGAACTAGAATGACTTGGATAAAACTGTTTATAACAGTGTGCGTAAACGTTTTGACCGCTCTTGCCAAAGCAAACACTCGTAGACTTGTGACGTTCAAAATAGTTAAACATTTGCTCAAGTTGAAATCGCTAAGGGCTGTCACTATGGGTTTAAAACTAGTATCCGTTTACATCTCTACCTGAGAGTCTATCTTTTGAAATCATGAAATGTACAACAAATCGATTCTCCGATACAAAATGGTTGATTGGCATCGTGCATTTAACCTAATTGTTATTTACTATTGTGTGTAGAGCGATTTGGCAAGGCAATCGTTATATGTGAAATTTGATCCACTCGTAGAGGCTAGGAAACCGAAAGAAGCGGAACAAGGTTTGTAAATATTTCTGTGTTGTGAATATTGACCGAGAAATTATGATATTGTATATTCGCAAAGTTAATATTATTTCACTTTCACAGAACCCGGTGCTCTTGCAAACATAAATCCTGCAGACTTGCTTTTCAAAGGCTCTATGTAAGTGAATTAAGCGGCGTATAAAATCGTTTCAAACTCATGAACTTTGTTAAAAGTAGGCCAACGACCTAGGTGAAAATCTGCTGAGGACTTTGGCAGAATATGACTGAACTCACGTTTTTTATTTTTTCGTTACTAGTGCTAACGACGACCTGTTATGTATGGACACCCCGCCTGAGAAACCTGTGATATCCCGTCGTGCCTTGCTCGCCCAAACGGAGAACGCGGAGACTGGGGAGAGCACGGCAGTAGCAGCGATCCAGCCTGTTGATTTATTAGAAATATCGCCAAGCAAAGATGTAAGTGCAGTCGTTTGAGTCATAACTTGGTTTCCACACACTGCTCCACGTTCAATGCTTGTATGCACTTGTGAGACGTCATTATATCACTAAGTGCCGTTCAAAACTTGTGTCAACAGTCTCTAATGTAAACAAACGTTTTGTCTACATTTTGAACTGATGGTTTCCTAAAATATCCTGTATTGTCGAAACATTTAACACCATTTTCGTTCGCTATACTTCAAAATGAAGTCCCTGAAATAAATTAAATCTTTTAAAAAATTAGAAACATCAACTTTGAGCATGTGTAAATTCGAGATTTTATTGTATGTATTTCCATTTGCTTTTCCAATTCGTCTTGTTTAAATCCAGTCCACTGTTATCTTTTGAAACTTTCACGGAGCTTTGCAAGAGATTTTTAAAAGACCCGTCCTAGCTCGATGTGATTATATTAATTTATTTTGAACGTATCGTTTTACGATTTCTCAGATTCCCGCAGCAGAAAAACCCGAGGAGGAAGAAGCCTCGAAATCCGTGGACAGCACTTTACCTGCTAAAGAAGAATCGCCACTTGTTCAGGTAGAGTTTCAACTGTGTTCAGTAGAACTTGTTAACAAGAATGTCTTGGTTGAAATTTTACTCGCCTTGAGCCCAAGTGGAGTAATTTCATTATAGGCGGAAAACTATAAGTCAACTTTGTTTACGATCGATTAAAAAGCCTGTCATGTTTTCATTTATGGTGGCTGCAGGTCTTCATCGATCTCATTGTTTTGCTGTCATCTTTTCACGTTTGTCTGATCAATGGCGGTCTCGATCCGGGTATAATTAATACAGGATTACACGATATTTCACATTTAACCGTAAACGATCGACTGTGAACCTTTATAAGTTGATAATGTACGAGTTCTTTACTTGGTTGTTTTGTTTGAACGCAACAAAGAAGCAAAAGAAGATGGCAAACGAGTGCAATAAACGACCTGTTAGCGCTGTGAGTTGATCGCCATTGTGCAAGAAATTTGAAAGAATGGATATTTTGACATGAACTAATTGATGTTGAGCTCGTGATTCGTGAGAATTAATAAGACTTGGCACCAAAAGTTTGAATGAAAGTTTCCTTAATACTCAAGGGAGAGTCTAAACAACTCTCTTCAAAAGTCAAACTCTTGCTATTCATATTTCAATTGGCTTTGTTTTGGCGGGAAAATAGTCATATGCATAGTGTCTATATTTCTTTTGAATATTTTAAAACCCCTTCTCTTCTTTTGTAGCCATTGCAGTTCTCCAAAACAGACTTAGATAAAGCCGTCGAGGAGGAGAAGAATAAGTTATTAAGTCAAGTGAGTCCGTCAATTTTTATGCAACCATATTGTTGTCGTTTGCTCAGTCTACAATACAGTTAATGAAACGTTCCTAAACTTCCTATAGCAAGCTCTCGCTTAGAAAGCTTTCTTTCTTTCAGTGGAATTTACAAAAGAGTCTACACGAGGCTGATCTGGAAAAATTACTCGATGAAAGAAATGAAATTCTTGAAGAGCGAAATAAATTATTGGACGAAAATAAAGTTGTGAAGTAAGGACTTTACTTGCGGACAAATAGTCTTCCTGGGGCCGGGATATTTGCACTTACTTGCGATATTTTTCTCGTGCGATTTCCTTCGTTTGAAAGATGCAAACGAGTGAAAAGCTATGAAAGCTCTGTGTATAAGTGCCCGTGTTTGAACATCCGTAACTTTTCCACTCGATTACATCTATCGAAAGAAGAAAGAGCATTGCAAATATCAGAGTTAACGATGCTTTGTCTATTTTCAGAACTCTAATGATGGAATATGAACAGACAATGGCACAGATGATCAGTAAGTCGCATAAAGCACAAAATTATCTTGAACCCTTGTTTATTAAGAAAAATGAGCTGAATGTTTAACCCTTTTTATCTAAAGAGGACAGAGAAAGCGAGAAAAGCCAGCAGGAAAGATCGAATTCAGAAATTGTTAACGAGCGTGATCAGGTGAGATTCATTATGCAATATCCAACTTCTGTTTGAAGCGCTTAATGGAAAAGTGAACGAAACTTGAATTATTCTTGTCTTAAGTAAAAATACGACATTCCCTTTATACTAGCTTCAACGTGACTTACACAACACTGAGAAATCATTCGCTCATCTTCATGAAAAGTTTGGGAAACTGAAGACTGCTGTGGAGTCGTATCGAAAGGTAAACACGGCATTTCTACTTTTTAGTTTACAGAGAGATTGTGTTTAGAAGCGAGAAAAATATAAGCAACATTAACACAAATTGGTCTGCAAGTTGAACAGCATGATGGTCATTTATCAAATTCATTTATCTTCGTCTATAGAACGAAGACGTTTTGAAGAAAGTGGTTAAGGATCTACAGGAAGATGTGAAAAACTCCGAAGCGAAGTATCAAGTTTTAAAAGGCCACGCTGAGCAGAAACTACAGGAGTGGGTGAAATACAAATACGATTAAGCTGTTTTCGTCTTTTATCTGAATAAAACTTTATATGTTTCATCTCTTCATTGTAGAGCAAATGTTGAAATAAATCGAGTTCAAACTACATTTAAAACAGAACTGGCTGGTCTCCAGGCCGCATTCAAACGCGAAAAGACAAAGGTCTCTTCTTTACAACAAACTCTAGATCAAAAAGTAAGTTGCACACAGATGAAAAGGCGTCTCATGTTGGTTACTAAGAAGAACCAAACTAAAAGAAAGCTTTTTCCCCTTTATAGATCAATGAAAACAAAGAGCTTACAGCAATTTGTGACGAACTTATCAGCAAAGTGGGGCCAATGCCTTAATTTAGCTAGAACTGTGTAATGTGTATAGATTAAAAGTATATTTAAATTGTCAAATGTATATTTGAAAATATAGAAAGAAAGTGCGTTTATAGACACTTTCTTGTTTTGTATCAACCTAATTTATGTCACTTTCCCAGCCATGGTATCACTCACTGCGTAATGTCTCAAACGCGCTCTTCGATTGATGGTTAGATGTAGTCGTTTTGACCTTTTCCACCGAGTTATTATTGCATTTCAAAGTCTCAGAAGAAAGGATTACTTTCCGAAGTAAGTGACTAAAAAGCTGTAGACTTTCGGCACCAGCACGAATGGTCTAGTGGTTAATGGGATGGCCTACGATACGATAAACGGCACGGTCGAATCTCTGCAACGTTTCGACCTTTTCCAGCCTTGACCATGGTCGAATATACCATTTGAAATAATAGCGCTCCAGTTTTTATTACAGTCCACTGGCGCAGACCAAAGTCAGCGCAGGCGGGGAGATTTAAATGGATGAATTTGCTACTTTCTAGTTCAAAATGTAAACAGAAACCTTTTAAAACGTTGAAAAGCGAAGATCTGCAGGTAAAACTTTGTACGCATGTGAATTTGGGATAGTTAAATGAAAGAACAAGAAGTATTGATCAACATTCGAGCCAGTTTTGACCTTATTTTGCGTAAAATTATTCCTAAAGTTAACGGAAGGTGAACGGCCATTTTGACTGTTCAAGCTTGTGTTGTTAAGAATTGTTTTCAAAGCATTCTTAAAAACCTCTGAATTTTTCCTGATGATTTAGCTACATTGGTGTAGAATTCCCTAGATCAGATCTTGTTTGATAGGAGAAAAATGCTTGGGTTCTTTGATATAAAACATAAATATGAATGGTGCTCCCATTCTGTAGTCTGTACAGAAACGATAACAATTTGACCTTGATTGTTTTAATTTTTTTATTTTAACTTGGTTATTCTAGGACATTGGCAATGTGTTATGTCGCTAGAGCTATTAGTGGCATGAGATATGAGAGTTATTGGTAAATATTATACTAGTTTATATGGTGGGTTTAGTTCCTACTGGAAGGAAGCATATGCAAAAATTTGTGGTTATTCTCCTGGCTTGAATTAATTTATGTCCAACAAAATCTCATATGATTTATTAGAATAATTTACAATTATATGAAAAATTATGTATCGATAAATAAGAATGTATTCTAGAATGTATACTTTTGCTAAATTATCAAATTTGATATCCAACGTCATATTTACGTCCGACACATCGAATTCTTGTCAGCCCCTTTGAGGCTTAGTGGTAAAGACCTTTCCCTGCCTCAAATTGATTTTTAAATGACTTTTACTTGGATATAAGACATGTTTTCCCTGTCAATGCTGTATTTAAATTTCATTTTTCATCTATTCAAATTAGGTAAACTAGGCATCGGTCTGGCAACTGTATTGGGGTAAGCAAATTGATTTGACATTTAATGGATGAATTGTTTTTGATCTTTTGCTTTTAACAATGTCATTCTTTCATGCATCCAGTGGTTCATATCTTGGACACCTGCTTTTCAATCAGCGTGAATGGTTCAACTTGGCTGTCGCTAATTATGTTCAGGTTCCTATGAAAGAAGAGTTACAAGGTCTTGTTCCCACAGGTTGGTGTATACATTTTGTCATGTTTTATGATGGTAGCAGTTTAAGTCAATGTTCTTGGTAGATACTTGCCATGCTGTGCGATGATGCACATATATATTCATATATGCTCTACATGCAACAATTTGCACCATTTGACACTTTGCAACACTATGCAATATTTAATATAATACCATACACTGCTATACAGCACTATAAAATACTTTACAACACTATGTATCCACTGCCGCACAACACCATACAGTACCATACATTACCATGTAACGCTAATACGGTAAGTACTGTATATGCAGCGTGGTACATATGGTGTTGTATAGTTCTTGTGTATCATTGTTGCTATCATGCAGTACAATTTTATTTAAAGACTATTAATTTAACAACATTCATTCTTTAGGAACGCAACTGCTTGGCTTTTTTGTCTCACAGTTTCCCAAACAAATCTTGATGCTTTCTCAGTCAGATCATTTTCTCATCAGAAATATTTCCCAGAAGATTTTATCCTCTGCCATCTTACCAGAAGGTAATTTAACTGAAAAATGCTCAACCTTCTTTCGTACATACATTCTCTGCAGCGTAAAGCTGGAACCTACTCTAAGATAGCAATTCTTTCATTCTAAAGGTTTCAACATTGCCACAACACTTGATGAAGTTTCTGATAGTGTTTTAACGAGTCTCGCCAGGGAATCCATTCTGGAGGAAAGTTGTTTCCCTGGCATCAAGAACTGTGATCTGCCTCAGAAAAACGACAAGGAACTGAGCGAAGCATTTCGTCAGCTGCTGTCATCTCTGCCCACATCAGGACAATGCGCAGCCTGGTTCACTGAATCCGCTTTTCATGGGGGGAAATCCGGTCACAACTTGTACAAGGTATAAAACGTTGAAACTCGCGGAACACTGCAGCATCATTATACAGAATTAGCGACATTAGGTTCAGCTTGACACAGTCCGCAATAATGTCTACAATTTTTTTGGGAATACATCTTGTTATATAGTTCCATACTAATATCATAAAGTTAAAATCAAGTTGAGTTGGGATTGTTTTTAACGCCGGTACTGGTGGACTAGGATTTTCCGGAAAATATATAGACAAAATTACAAATGCTGTAGTATTTTCCGTTTATTCTATAGACGATATTTTGGCATCCTGAAAATGGAGATCATCTTGAAACAGTTTCTGCTGACGACGAAATTCTCTTGTTTTTAAAAGCACTGCGCAAACATTCAGAAGTATGATCTAGATTTTTATCAAATTTAGTCGCAATTTTTTGCACCGCAAGTTGTTCTTTCTTGCAGTTTTATTGGTTTTTGTTTCAATATTGGCTCGAGACTGTATGATATTTGCGTTTTGTTTAAGGTAAGAGAACATAGATCAGTGATTCTCGAGGCTGGTGGATTAGAATTACTGCGTTTAGTGAGTTTAAACTATGGTGGCGTCAAGGTGGAAAGATTAGTCTCGCACGTCCTGGGAAATATGGCGATAGATGCTTCATCGCGAGACAAGATCATCAAGACAGGTAACGCTCCGCCCGTGCTTGTTTAGTCTCTCCCAGACTTATTTTAATACCTTAAAATCATCGTACACTTCGTTAAGGCCTAGGTTATGCGTCGCATTTTGCTCGAGCGTCGAATGCAATTCAAACAATAGATGAGACGATAACCTCATTAAGCTTCATTACCATCTCATCACCTTCATTGCCTATTGTTTGAATTGCATTCGACGCGACCAAAATGCGACGTTTAACCTAGGCCTAAATCTTGGGAAGACAGGCTCATGTAAACAGCCCCTGAGTGAGTTACAACCCACAGTTCATTCAAAAATATTGAATAGGGGATTATGAAACTATTTGTAGCCAGCTTTATTCTTTTGTTCAATTATGGAAATCACGTCTGCCGAAGCTCGCAATCCGCTGTCATTTGTCACCTCGTGCTGGAGAAACGAAATCAAGGCTTTGCTCGCTGCCTTACCACGCCACAAATAATTTCTGTATTTCCTATAACAAGCTAAATCAATCAAGCCAAAGTTGGATTAATATCCGTGTATTTTGACTGTGGATTTACCCAATTTGTCGTTGTGACTATTATAGGCTGGTTACGGGAGCTTCGGCGATGGATAAAATCGAAGGTAATGCACGGTACACTTGTTATGGATTGAAGTTTCCAAATATTTCAGGTTTAGTTTTGTACCTTGAAGAAATATAAACATCCGTTCTCTGGAGCGTTGAAATAGATAGATGCCAGATAGCTGTAAGTTTGAGGATATCTCTCAATGAATTGTAAATCCATATTTTAGGACTTGATCGTCAAAAGTCAATCGCTTCGAGCTTTAGCTAACTTGGACAGAGAAGGCGAAAAAGGGCAAATATACGATGATGGAATATTTGTGGCTTATCCAGTCGAAAGATTAAAATGGTACGTCGCTGTAAGGTCCCAAAATGTTATCTTGAACGTGATTGCTTCGTACATAGAGTCTGGACAATTGTCTTGATAACTATGTGGGTTTTTAAAGCGTTTGTTTTTGATATTTTTAAGGTGTAGACCAGAGGTTGATATTGTATTCGTTCACGGTCTTCGTGGAAGTCCTTTTAGAACTTGGAGAAGTGAAACAGATGACTCGCTTGTGCAGACGCCGCGAAACAAGACTGGCTGTTGGCCACGGGTATGATTCTGTATTTTATTTTTATTCACAGGGAAGACATCTCCCCGTCGTCTGGTGGGCACTGCATGAGCACTGTCAAAGTTTCTGTGGTTATAGAGTTTGGATTTTGCATTGATAAATCTTAAAAAGCAGTCTTAAACAGGGAAGCATAATGTGTATAGGGGTGGTCAATTGTCAAACTGCAAGATGAACAGAGGACCACCTTTGAGGCGGTGGGAGTTCCCCCTGTACCCCTCAGGGTGTTTTTGACAAGGGCACAGCCCTCAATCACTGAGAGGTCTCTCTAATTCGAGGCCAATATACTTCTATTCCTATAGGATTGGTTTCCAGTTGATATTCCAAGATGTCGCGTTGTTTTGGTTGAATACGACACAGAGTTGAGTGGCTGGACGTCGAAGTGTCCTTCGCAACCGGAAGTGTAAGTGAAAAACTTCTCATCATTCCTTGTATGTACATATCCACGAAGATACGGTGATGTTATGATCCAACGATTTATACCAGTTTAATGGATTACGTTAGGATTAGTTAATTCGAGTCTTAGGATTACAGATAATTGGCTGATGACCAGAAAGAAACCCAAACGGTGGGATTTTCAACTGTACCTTACCAATCTATAAAATATATTTACAGTTCGACAATCGAATATCGTAGTGCAGAGCTTTTGAACAAATTAAAAAATGCTGGTATAGGAAGACGTCCAGTGGTGTGGTTTGCGCATTCTATGGGAGGTTAGTTTTTACGTCTTAATATTTCTAATATGATGGTTGTTCCCTGGTTCTTGCAATAACAGTACTGTACCTGTGACCATGAAGATAAATTCAAATCTGAAAAGCAATACTCAATTTCTTGCATCCTGCTCTTTCATTGCAGGTTTAATGGTAAAACAAATTTTAGTGGACGCTACGAAATCATCAGAATTTAGGTATGTTGAATCCCAGATATTATATTTCTAGATTAATAGCATTATGTGCAGACTACTTGCATTAATCGTAGCATAAATATAAATGGCACAGCCGCACAAGAACATATTTATTTCGTTTTGAGTACTGCATAAAAAATGAATCCATAAATCTTAATTTTAGTTCATTGCAGTCCAACACTAAAGGTGTCGTGTTCTATGCTGTGCCCCACAAAGGTTCAGAGATTGCTTCAATGGTCGCTGGAAAAGCCAGATATTTGTTTTTACCTTCCAGTGAGGTCAAGGCATTACAAAAAGGCAAGTTGCAATTCATATCGCGTTCTGCTATTGTGAATCCATTCATAGAAGCATGAGGCAACGTCACATAACGTATTAGGAAACCTTTAAAGGGGAGTTAGTGTTAACCACTTTTCATGAGAATGAAGGTTTCAAATCGTTCCTTTAATACAGGCTCAGAATATCTTGAAGTTCTACAGAAAAACTTTCTCGACTTGGTTCAAAACAACAAAGTGGAAGTTCTGAGCTTCGCAGAGACCGAACCAGCGAAAATCGTGCGAGATACGCTCATAGTCTCTCCGGACTCCGCAGGTACCAAATTAACCTTTTAAATACCGAACTATCCCTCTGTGTCCCCGGAGGTTCCTCCTCTTGACCTAGCGATTTGCCATTAATTTATCTCTTTGAGAGAATTGGCGATTGTCAGGATTTGCACACCTTCAGTATTTACAGTAGTTCTAGATTCCCACTGGTATTATGCCGAGATAATAGTATTTTTTGCCCTATTGGTGTTTGATAATGCAATTAAACTGTCGAAATGGAGCCAACGGTAGAGAATCATTGCTCTAAAACTAGTATAATTTGGGGCATAGGTTTTTGACGATAAAAGATTAGGTCACCACGTTAACACACAATTCGTATCCCATATTTTTAAGGATATTACCATGCAGTAAACCGTCCCTTTCTGTAGCTTTCGATGGTTCATTGTCCTGTAAAATCTTTTTCTGTCGCACTTTTTAGACTTTGGAGTGGGCGAGTTCATTCAGCTGCCAGCTAATCATTATAATGTATGCAAACCCCGGAGTCGCTGTGACCCAACTTACGTGAAGACGGTCGATTTCGTTAAACGACATTTGGTTGACAACGAGAATTTCATGCCAATAATTCTGTTTTGAGAACAGTAATCTACACAACTGTCAAGGTAGGATTTCAGCACGACTTCAGCACGACTCGCGATTCATAACTTTGTATTATCGGGGAAATTACGAGAGGGGGGATTGCCACAAATCAAAATCGTCGTTGAAAACAAGGTTTTTGGGTTATTTTTGGGAGATTAAGTAATTAACACAAAATTAATCTAAATTTACTTATCATTAACACAATTGGTTTGACAAATCTTAATAATCTAAAGTTAGGATAATTATACTTTCACAAATTAAACACAACTACACTACTACTAAACATAACTAATAAAAGTCATTCGAATCTCAAGGTATAATTCTAGTTGAACATGCACTGTAGAATTAGTTTCGCATCTTTTATTTTAAGTCAATATCTTAAGTCTCTCCAATTCTTGATCTGTAAACTCGATACTCTATGTCATTTGGTGTCTGTGCTGGTTGGATTTGAAGATGTCTGCTTTTTTCTTATCAGTTACCATATATCATGGCTATATTTTGCTTCAGTTGTGTTGATGCATGTCTGTCACAAGGACCTTCAATTAATGAATCTTCTGAAGTCTGTGATTTGAACAGTCTTTATTTTGCTATAGTCCTCTGTTTGCCGTCTTTGGAAGGCTTTCATAATGATTCTCTTCACTTTTCCTGTCGAAGCACCCCAGCGTTTTGGTTGCACGAGAAGCCATCTTGTATGCTTATGTATATTCATCGAAGGCTGCATGGGTTTAACCAGGTTCCCTTTCTTTAAGGGCCAAATTCCAGTTCACCGCAGCATAGGATTTCTGTACCCACGAGTTCAGGTTTTACCTCGTGTGTGAAAGATCCCTTCTCAAGAGTGTTAACCGTCTCCAACTGGGTCAAATAAAAAGCAACGGCGATCCAGCAGATGGGAACAGCAGGTGTACTCTGAAGGGTTGTCATGTGTTGAACAAGACTGCCCTAACCCAGTGGGATACGGGAGGACATGGCACCAGAGAGTCGCGAGAATTCAAGACAGGATTGATGAGCATAGAATGGCTAGCTTACATGGGCAATATAGATTGAAAAAACGCGCACAGCGAGGGCAGTTTTGACAATGAGAAATCGTGGTAATGGATATTACGCATTCGTGGGAACGATTTCATATTTTGAACACCAGGCGGTTGCGAGATAGTTCTGGAAACCGTGTTGGAAGACAAAACAAAAACATTGATGAAATTCTGGACAGAAACATGAATTTGTGCTTGCTGAAGTAAACGGGATCATCACAGATAGTGATTGACTAAATCTATCAAATGATTCGAACCTAGCTACAATATAGAGTTGATAAGTGTTGTGTATGCAAAATTTAAAACTTCCGGTGTAAACTCAAAAACCCGTTTTTTCGGATCAATTTCAACCGAAAAATGAACCTGAATTGGGGCTTGATATCATTTAAAATAGTCGATAAAAAGTGGCAATTTTTCGCATAGATTGCGCGCATATCTTTGTCTATATCTTTTGCCACGCACCCAGCAGTTTTTGTATAAGGATGTTTTGGAGAAAGCTTTCAAAATAATGCCCTTACCGTTGGCGCAGCAGGTTTAGGAAATGTACCAATAAAGTAAAACAATGTACAAGATTGTGAACATTAGCAGGCCATTAAACCTTGCGCCAAAACAGAGCTTTTATATTGGGCCTCTTCATTGCACAAGCCTTGCAAAACAGCATGACAACTGTGAATATATGCGAGCTTTCAGGGTTCGCCACGATGTTTTGAAGTTGCTGTTTTTGAAATGCAAAGCGAACAAGAAGCGTTTGAGGGTAGCCACGATGCTCTTGCAAACGTTCAGTTTGAGACAAACGGCATTTCGCATGGACAACTCGAGGAATGATCCGATATTTTGATTTGGATTAAGTTATTATTAAACAAAGGTGGTGAATTGATTGGAGAAGCACAAAATTAACAGGGCGTTATCAATCAAATAATTTCGATAATCTGTCAAACGTTTTAAAAGCTGTATTGAAATGCTGGCTTCGTCGACAAAAGGGGAATGCAGCCATTGTCTCTTTTGGAAATGCGATCAATCACTTTCCCTACAGCTGATGGGACAAGCGCCACAGGTAGCCCCAAAGCTATTTACACCTTATTATCTTTGTCATAAACAAACCCTTTAGAAACTGTTGTCCCTGCTTGATTGCCATAACGCCAGTGCTGATGTCAGTTCCCTGTGGGTTGCCATGGAGATAATGGCTTTCTCCCTCAACAAACAATGGCTTCTATTTATGTTTTGAAGTGCAATTTACTGCACCAATTTCGTGGGGCGCGAATTATCTTACAGCTGACAATTGGGCGCTAATTTTCCATTAAGTAATAACAAATTTGGCGATAAAGATAAGCTTAGCATTTCGGCAAGTGGCACCTTAATGGTTTTCAAGCATGCATGGTTGGCTCTTGGTGTAAGTGATGTAGGATTTTGCTGTGAAACTAGGGACAGCGTTCGGGTATCACTGACATGTTGTAATGCACCATTGTTATGATTATTGAGGCGTAATTAATATGTTTGAGTCAATATTTTGACATCTGTGTTGGTATATGGTCAATTATGATACCACCTTAATTGCAAATATTTTTATGCTTGCTTAGAGTTCGAGATAAGATTCGAGGGTAGTTCAAATACTTTACATGTTTAGCTTGTAATAAGCTGTGTCAAACCATGGGTATTTTGACAAACTGCATATAAATATATAGACCTGCAATTGTACCAATTTTGTTGCTATCTATTGGGGTGGGTTTTCACTGCTTGCTCCCAGCTTGTTGACATTGAAGTTTATCAAAGGCTAGGTTGATAATTTGTTACGAAGCTGTTCCGAGCCAGCGGTCGTACAACAAGTTTGGATTGCGGACTACTCAAATTCCGTGAGCTTTAGGATCACGTCTTGTTGCAAGATTAGTTCTCCTCAAATGGTACATATATATATATATATATACAAGTTGGTATAGCTATATTGGTTTTTTAAGCTTTAAAGTGGGGTGAACGAAAAGAAATATTTCCAACATTCATCCTGTAGACAATGCATTTGAATTGTAGTTGCAGAAACGTGTCTTTTAAAAGAAATCTCCATTGGAGTATAGCAGACGTTTTTACAATTTTGTACACGGTTTGACAGATTTCACTAAGATTTGCTGAAGGATTTCCAAGAGGGTGTAGTCGTTGTGTTGATGCATTACCAGGATTTTACATCCGGATTTTCACTTACACATGAAGTATCCTTAATCATGCAGAATCTTTGATACACAAAGTTGGGTAGATCTAAATCAGCAATAGTTTGAGAACATGGCAGAAGTTATTTTTGTACAAAAGCTTTTAGTATTGAACATGTTTTCGTCAAAAGGGGCTCCCCGCCTGGTATCAAAAAACACGTGGAGCTGTTTTGTTCGTAAGCATAGTAAAAATCACCAGCCTGGCGCCAGGGAGGAGCCTTGTCTAGTTCAAATGATGAACATTTGCTTTGGGAAAAAACGTTACAATTTGTATTCAATTATAATCTTATTGTAATAAAAAGTTTATAATTAGCTTCGTAAGAAGGCAGTGTTTTGTTTAAAGATCATTCCAACAGGATTATATGCGTTTTTTTTATCTAAATGCATTTTTAATTTGAGAGTTCGCTATTGGATCTGCTTTGAACTTGATTGCTATATTATATTATAAGGATATTCATGGCCATAATAGAGTCAATGATACTTCGCGCTGTAACTAATGGGACTGAATCTAAGACTTTTCACCATTTGAAGTCAAGTCACACTTGAATTCAAGTCACTACTGCAAGATTCGGCCAAACCTGAATATATTTGATGTATAAAACCTTGATGTCAAATGTGGTATAACAACTGCCGAGTAACTCTCCTGACGAAGGCCCTCAGGTCGAAACGTCGAGAAGTGTTTTGTCTATTTTAGGCAGTTGTTATACCACATTTGATGCTAAGTTGTTTGAAGACGTTGCCACGCTGCTCCCTGGTTACATTTAAACCTTGATGTTTTTATGATTAAGAAAGGTCGAGAGTATACCACTGTCAGATATTGCGTGAAACTGAATTGTCACCATCGCGGCCAATGAAGTAAATATTTATCCATCTAACCTTAGCGCATTGTGGACATTATATGGACTATGGATATTCGTGCTCTCAAATGACATGATCATGATTCTTCCTATCATAAAAATCTTTTGAACATTTTTCAAATTGTAAACATATCACATCCACTGCATATTACTCATAAATCCTGTCAAATGCCACGTAATTGGAAGTGACGTGCAAGTTAGAAGTTTCTATTTTGCGCACAAGACAATAAAAAAACTCTAAATATATCAACATCGACTGGCGTGCGTTCGCACGGGGGCGCCCTGTACAGGAAAACTGGCCGAATCGGTTCGACTGTGAGTAATTTTATCGATTACGCCATATATCATCACATCTCTGAAAATATCACCCGTGTAAGCTAAAAGCAACGATCTTTCGTTTCGCGCACGCTGTGTCATTAATTGCACTGTAATTGCAAGGGCTAGATGCTTCAGCAGCAGAGTTTTAGAACAATGCTAAACAAATATCGCTCAGTGATCGCTAAAACCTCGCATGCTGTGTATGTTTGTTTTAAAAATTTGGCCACACATTCATTCCTTGTCGCTGATGCTCGAGGGTCGAGCAAAATATCTCGTGGATCGAGGATGCAGTGAATCGATTTCTCAAGGCTTTATGGCAAACATATGTAAAAAATGTTAACCTAGGCTGGTTTGAAGGTTTGAAGGATGTAATAATGTGTATTATGAGCGTTATCGACGCAGCAGAAGTGTAAAAAATAGTAAAACTATATTTTCTCAAACGCATCTATTTTCGTATGCAATAAAAATGTCAATCACGTTCTTGTGAGTGGCCTATTTCTAATCTGAAGCCACCAAATGATCCGCTGCACTATCGTTTCTTAAAAAAAAAAACGCGTTCGCAACATTTGAAGCTGTAACAATGTTATCATTTATCAAGTGCGTCCCAAAATAGCCAAGGAACAGCGTGACAGCGTCTTCGTACGACTCTCGTCAAATTTGGTTATACAGTTGCCTGAAAACTTTACAGAACTTGGGTTGTAATCAAGTACCTTCCTCGACGTTTTCCCACGACCCTCGGGAGTACAACCCACGACATCCAAACACACCTTTGCGTGGCTTATTGATGGGTCTTTCAAAAGGTGCTCCAGGGTGCCGTGTGCACTAGACTTCTCTTTCATATCAACTTGATTTATCAGTCACTATATCTAATTCTATGCTTGTTTTATTGCACTGCTTGACCTCTTGTCGAGTTTTCCCCACTTAAATCTCGACAAAAATTGCCCGTAATGATCACTTTGCTAGACATTGTTGCAATCCTCGAGATATTTGACGGCTAGGAAAGCCCTGTTGTGTTTTAAAACCATTCCGTCTCGAGTTTTCTGTGCGATTTTATACAGCTTTGAGAATTGAGATTGGCTTGCATGTAGAAAGCCGGCAAGGTGCATGCAATGGCGTCGTCAATCAGGATAGATTCAACCAGCTAGTTTTAAGAATACATGAATATTTTCAATACGATGTATTTTTATATTACTTTATGCTAAATCTCCCTCATTTCAAGTATAGATATACCATACTATTCATGGATCATAGTAGGGCCAATATCACAATATAGCAGAACTAACAAACATTGATTAATAATATTGTCTTGAATTATTTGCTATGTTGTGCAATTAGTCACGATTTAATAGTGACCAACGATGGGTTTTATTATGACTGGAAAAAGCATTTAAACTATTCTAAACAATAATCATCTAATATCTTATTCACAATGTGTCTGCAAATCCTTTGTAATTATATTTATTGCCGTGTATCTATAGTTATCTTTTACACTTTAGAAAAATAGATTTTGCCATTTATAACCTTCTATAAACGAGTCAGTTATTAATAAAGGACGTATATGCCCCAAGATTTCAATTATTTCAGTATTATTGCCAAATAGATAAAGATCTTTCGCTCTCCCATGTGGGCGCCTATTTTTGGCTGAACAATGCATCGTAATTTGTATAGAAGGCTGAATATTCTACATAACTGACGGAACTGGGCTTTTTCAAAACCACGCGTTGTGAATATTGTTAGGTTAATCGCAATATTATTTTCCCGCCCTTTTCCGGACGTTTCTGTGGGCTTAACCTTGGAGGTTATTAAAAATTAAACTAGAACATTTCTGAAAAGACTTTCAATTTAATTAATTAATTATCACCAACATTGTCAATCTATACAATCTACATTCCCCCCCTCCCCTCCCCCCCAACGTTGCTGCTCCAAGCACAAAGTATCAACGATGTCACCTTTCCCCACAAGCAACATTGGCGAAAATATATAAACGTCTATGTAAATTCACCAGGCAGTTATTCCAGTCTATACGAACCCATTTCTGTTTGTTTGTAAATGCGGTGTATTTATATACTTATCTGGAAAAATGGGCATTTTAATGTACGCTAATGATTTTAAAAGCATTTGTTTTTTTTTTAATAAGTCAAGAAGTTTCGTTTTGTACTGCGGTTGAGTATTTTGTCTCTATCTGTTTCGCTATAAATTAGCAGAAGAACACTATAGAATGACTTACAGAAACGTATACTCTAATTAAGGTCTCTGTTATAAGTCTATCGACTGTAAATCCTGCCTATGACTTTTCACTTTAAAGAATATACAGGGAAAATGAGAAATATTCTGAGCCTGATGATTTATACTCAGTCGAGATAAACGATCAATTTTTGGTCCTATAAGCAATTCGTATCAATTTCAGCGCTTGTTCATAGTGCTAATTTCTCATGATAAATATGACCTGCGTTATCCGTACATTTAAAATAAAGGCATTCCTATAGTATCCACGTCTGTTGACCAGCCCTCATTCAGGGGTCTGAATATGTTTCAACACCGTGGAACATGCACGAGACATTCGTGTATCATAATTGTGCAAGATCTCTCTTCGTAGAAACTAGTTGGTTTTATTTCTTGCACTTGATGATCTGTTAATTGCCTAATGATGTTGTAAAAGCCTTTGGGCCCATTGTGCGTTTGTTTCATCGTCAACGAACATGTGTTAATGCCAAAATCATCATTATTAAGCTTGAAGAATTAGTATTGCTAATGGCTGGTCTGTTTTCTCATTTGGCACGATTTCCTAACCTAATTAATTGGATACAATCTACAAGGGACCACACATGATTTATGAAAATATCCACGTTTTCAGACGATTTCCAAAACTGAGTGATTATATCCTATTTCCTTGAAGCTGACTGCTTTGAACTTCGTATAAGAGCCTCCACAAACATTTTCATTGTATAAATGTCGAAATCAATATTTCAACGTTGCATGATTTAGTGCGAAATCGTGTTTGAATTGCCTTGAGGGCAGTCATACCATCCCACGGGGCTTTGAAAATTAAATCCCATGCAGTCTTCATAAGTGTATCATAAAGTTGATCGTGTATTTAAAGGATGAAAAGTAATATATACGTTTTTTAATCAGTTTTTTAGCCACGCACTCTCACATAAATAAGGTTTATTACTATAATTGGCTACACTTGTATCGCTTTTTGCGACAGAAATAATCTTAGGTCAAGTCCTCCATTAATAACCTTAAGTGCGCCTTTCGCTATAATAGGCCACAAATGATTAGTATGTGCGTTTAATTGTTGCACACAGCTTTGATTTGGCGGCCAAAGAACTTTCTTTGGTGTTCGCGCAAGATATGGTCGTGACAATGGATCTTAAGTGGTATTTTGAACAAGCTTATTAATAGTATCAGTCCTACAATGGAGCCATTCGAAAATGTTAAGTGATGTTTCCTGTGGAGCTGAGTAATTTGCACGAAGAAGGTCCACGCATTGTATTTGAATACGGCAAATAATTTGCTTGTGTTTGGTGTGAGCTATTTTCATACCTTAAAAGATCTCATATCAGATTGCCCGTTGATATAATGGCTGTGTTTTCGTGATACATATATGTAGCCTGCTGTTAAATGGTTTTGAACTATAAATCGATTTTGACATTCTAAATATCTGCAAGGAAAGGTGACCCAAACGCTAGTACTTACTGCTTTGCAATGTTTTATTCAGTGTTTCACTTTCAACCTTCCTCAATGTCAGTTGATCATTGCAGTACTGCCAGTCTGACTGGGTGTTGACTGTTGCTAGGCTGACCAGTCCAGCTCAATGTTTCAATTTTAACCTTTCTTAATTCAACGTCCAGTTGAAGTGGTTAATTATATCCCTAACATCAAATTCATCGACATGGAATCTGGAACGCTGCATAGCTATACTTGGGCAAGACGTTTGAATTAATTACAGACCTCTACCGGAACTCGTTCATCGATAGTCATTTAAAGTGAAGGGCTTAGTTCCTTGTAAGATTACTCGACGATAAATTTACAATTAATCAATAAACGCCTTGTTCGGAACGCTATCATTTTTTTTTCTGAATATAGTATTATAATCGACTCGGCATTAGCTGAGCTGTTGTTTGGGTTTGCAGACCATAAAATTTGTCTACGAGAGAAGAAGAATGCAGTCTTGTGTATTCCACCAACTATAAGTTGGTGATCTGAAACCAATTACATGCATGCATCTCGCTCAAAATACTCCTTAGTTAAACTCTCAAAAAGCACTTGAAAGAAATCCTAACTTCGAAGAGCTCTTGAGAACTAAAAGTCCCTAAAATTTAAAGTTTCTTTATGTTCCCGCTTCCTGAATTTTCTAAAAGGCCTTTTGGCTTGAATAGGTCGCACCCTCTGCGCAATGCAAGTCGATATACTGATAACGAATTCTCAATTTTGATATGTTGAAAATTACAGGTTTTTTTCTTTAAATATTTTGCCTGCGTGATCTGTATTTAATATGCTTCAGATTGGCGACGTGATGCCAATGACGTATTCACGTCAGCTCTAAACATATGTTGTGAAATCAGAAATGCAGAAAACGTTTTAAAAAAACGGGAACACCAAACACAAATTACTTCGATGCTTTTATGATGACAAGTAGATTTCGTTTTAGTATTCAAACGTTACAAGTATATATGCATTGCTGGTTGATGCTTGTAATTCCAAAGCTTTGCCTCGAGTATCAGTTTAGAGAATAATTGTTTCAGTCAAAGATAGCCTGGTCTGCGTGGATAAGGACATTCGATTGCGTTGATAAGAGCTGTAAAAAGATATCAAACACAAATTATACAATACTATTAGCCTTATAGAGATGGTCGTGATTTCGTATTTTTGACATATATACAGTGTCGTGCACTTAAATGGAAGTACGCCATCTATGTAATTGCTTTATTTTTAGTGCTTTAATTTTAGTGCAAATTAATGCGACACAAATAAGCACTTATAGTCTAAGTGCATTTGGAATGAAACAATGGGTTCATCGGGGATCATTGTGTCTTTCAACTGAAGACTTTGCCAAGCGTTTAAGCGCTTCTTATTACAGCAACAATAAAATGTTGCGGCAAATTTGATATTTCATTTTGTGATCACGCGCAAAATCGTTTCATTCAATTTTTTAATACACGTGTGGTTTATTGGTATTTTATTGAAAGGGAGTTTGTGTGGGTGTTTTAAAGAGTTCCTAAAAGTTTTGCTTAGGAATGTTTGATGGTTTGAGGCTGCAAATTGTTCTGTTGAAAAGGGTGACTGTCTGACTGACGCCCGACGTTTCCAGGGTCTAGTACTTATTGCTTTGCAATGTTTTATTCAGTGTTTCATTTTCAACCTTCCTCAATGTCAGTTGATCATTGCAGTACTGCTAGTCTGACTGAATGTTGACTATTGCTACTAATACTAGCCTGACTAGTCTAGTACTTGCTGCTTTGCAATGTTTTATTCAGTGTTTCACTTTTAACCTTCTTCAATGTCAGTTGATCATTGCAGTACTGCTAGTCTGACTGAGTGCTGACTGTTGCTACTAATACTAGCCTGCAGTCTAGTACTTACTGCTTTGCAATGTTTAATTCAGTGTTTCTCTTTCAACCTTCCTCAATGTCAGTTGATCATTGCAGTACTGCTAGTCTGACTGAGTGCTGACTGTTGCTACTAATATTAGCCGGACTAGTCTAGAACTTTCTCTGCTTTGCAATGTTTTATCCAGTGTTTCACTTTCAACCTTTTTCGAAGACAGCTTGATATGGTTGCATGAGTAATAATGCTCTAGGCTTTCAGAGAGTTGCCTTTTAGAATTCAGAGTTTTTAAAAACCCTTACGTAACTCTTTTCTGAATCCTCAACAACCAGCAGTGACATGGAATATCTTTCCACAGTCTTATCTCACGCGATGGCTGTCGCATAATGAAATACGACTTTTGACCCCGGGTCAAACACCGGGGGACGCCCATCAGATAATGGCAATGCAATAAACATAACTCGCTAGCGATAATTTCCTGTGACAAATTGTTTGAGAAGCGTTTCTTGCCATCTGTGCTAAGTACCCATGGCAATTTACCGATAAGAGACAGAGATGTGTGACTGTAATTCACCAAATGACCCTGAAGGTCAACGGCAGCGAAATTTCTGAGTTTTTGTGAGCACGGTAACTCTTTCGAACTTTCGTTAAAACTTGAAGAAATTAACAGAGGAGAACGTATAGATTTCCATCTTTTCTTTTATACATTATAAACTTTCATCGAAGAAATAATCGTCGTCTTGGACACCGCAATAGACTTATCACAAGTACTTTGACAAAAAAAAAATTGTGGGTACCTCGCCCTATATGGCAGGAGTGGTTTTTTTTTGAGAAAATTCAATTCAGAAAAGGCGTAGAAGTATACGTTCAATATTTGAATGTTTGTGTCCATTTATTTTGTACAAGATCCATATATTTTCTTTAAATAAATATGCAAATTTCAGTATTTAACTTACGCTGGCAAAATGATGTTAAGCAGCATGTTCAAATAAATAGATATTTAATATCATTTTAACATTTTTAGCTTCTGAACTCGACTGGTACCGCCAGATTAGTTGAGATGGAAGATAACTATCGTTTGCCGACTAGTTCGTGACATAAACATTCGCTTTAAGCGACTGAATTTAAAGCATCGGACATAAATGAAGCATTGATCCAAAGTTCACTGATCTGCGCTTGTTTGAGTTCGATGGGGGGAGTTTTAAAGCTACAGTATTGTTTTTGTGGACTTAGACAAATCTAGCAAGTGCAAAGATGCACAATCCACTTGCTTTGCAAGACCAGTGTTTTTGACGGATTTATGGGAATACAAAATGACTCAGGTCCGCTATTGGAGCCCGCGTTGGTCCACACATAAGTCCGAAGCCTGGCGGTATTGCGTGGTGATGCATTGTGGGACAGTTCATACCAACATACGGGGATTGTCCTTGAGGGGAATAATGAACAGGGGAGGCAGACCATGGGGATGAGTCTGCGGACATCCTGTCGTGCAGGTACTTCGTGTAGTGGCATACGACGGGGGTGCAATCGGTACGCTTGGCGGAAGCAGTATCGGTTTCGTGACCAACTTATATTTTTCAATTTCGGCCTCGTGAAGTCTCTTCGCTTTTGCTCGGCGATTTTGAAACCAGATCTTGACCTGTGTCTCCGTGAGATTGAGGGACGACGAGAATTCGGCGCGCTCGGCGATAGACAAGTATTGTTTTTGACGGAACTTTCTCTCCAATGCCAGAAGCTGTGTTGTCGTGAATGGCGTCCGTGGCTTACGATTTGTCTTGTGTTTGCGAAGTTGACATTTGGTCGGGCTGATTTGCGTGCGAATTCCTGGAAAAGTGAAAACAACGTGTCAAATATCAACCAAACCGACTTCCCTAGATTAGATCGACCTGATTTGACTGTGATGAGAGCCAGAGAGTTTCTCTCTTCAGAGAGTTTAAAGACACGCACTGCATTACACGTTTAACTATTGATGATACTAGAATTTTCTTTGATTGACACTGTTGGATTACTGCATGCCTCAGTCGTAGCAATTTTAAACAGCGATACCAGGTCATTCAGAATGGGTTAATCAGCCTAACTAAACAGGCGCCATGAACGATAACAGATTAGCAGCTTCTTCAACTATCGTGTACTTAAATCTACAAATCAATTCAACAACGATCCCAAATATATACCAGAAATTTCTCGGCGTTTTGGCCCCTCATTGGGGCTAGCTTAGGAAGGTTTAAGCAATGTACTGTATACGAATGAAGCACAAAACCCAGAAAGATTATGATTAGATTCGATAAACTAAACTAATTCTGTTTCTGAATTTGAAATTTTCGATTGTAATAATATATACAGTGTTCAGATAAGAACGTTCAAGACCGTCTACGTTTTTTTCTTAATCTAAAACTGAAGAGCTTTTTCGTTATTCGCAAAGTTCCAAGTTATAGCGGAGATTTTTGGTTTGTTTCCCGAGCGATTTTAGCGATACATAGGATTTTCCAAATGTTTTTCAAATGTGTACCAAACTATGGCAACGAACCATAGGAATAGAACATTTGTTTATGAATTAGGCTGAACAATTTTAACTCCGATACGTCAATGCATTCCTGAAGATAAATTTAAGACATCCTAATTTACGGTTGCAATTATGGATGCCACCTGATGATGCCGTAATGGATGATAATTATCCTAATTTTGCGAATGAGACTCAACGAGACCGGAAAAATCATCTCGACAATTTGTTAAACGCTTTTAAAGGTATTTCAAGCACTTTAATAAACGGCTTGTCTGTTTATGTGTGGTCTCATCTAGCCCTCGAGCCGACGATTCGAACGCTATTAGTGAAAATTCTTTGTGGTAAATTTTGTAAGACGATCTCTGGAAATTTCCAAGTTCTAAATGACTTTTCGTCGGCTGTGTGATTACTTTTAATATATCTACTTAAATATAAAGTTATTTTCATTGGCGTGTTTTAAAATAATTTCTCAAACAAAAGCTATATTATATAACATCATATTATATTAAATCTTCCCTATTATTGAACCTTCCATATATTCCGTGCCAAACGAATACGAATTACGCCCATGCAGTTGTGATCTATTAATATCTATTTGAATATAAATCTATAGAAATTGCCAGCCTCACATAAATAGAAAAAACTGGCCTGTCAAATTCATTTAGCGGCGTAAAAATCTGAAATTTGAACTATGCCTACATTTCTAATAACTTTTAAAACATTTCAAATATACCAAGTTTATCGGGGCTTTTTTAAGAAGATTATATTGACATGTTAATATGTTTATTGCTATCAATATTTTCGTGCCAAAAATATAGCTTGCATCGCGTTGCAATTTGTCAGTGAGGCAGACGTGCTCTTGGATAAAAAAATTATCGCTTCGTCTTGGCAAATGTTCGAGATTTTTTATCGGATTTCTGGCTAGGAGATGTTTCCTGCAGATTTCCATGTCGCCAATATAACGTCATGAGTCATGATGCTAATCAAGAACTTTTCAGACCTCTCTAATCGAGCCATACCCTTATGTTTACATTCCGGTGCGCGTTGAGAGCTTAAAAACATATGGCAAAATCTCTGTTTTCATAAATGTAACTTTCAGAGACCAACCTCAATGAAACTGCACGAATACCTTTATGTATTTGATGCGAGGATTACTCCAACAAAGAAATACTACACATTCTTTGCAATAACTTTCATGTGTACCTTGTAATCGATAATATATTTTCAATTGAACATTTCCGGCTTTAAATAACCCGGGCATTTGTGAGTAATCTATGTCGCTATACCAGAAGCTTTGAAGCCAAAGGGTTTTGATATTTTTAACAATGAAATACTTTATGTGTAACATTGCAAGCTAAATTAGCACAGAAATGCTGTATTTATTGTTATTTTCAAGCATGGTTTTTCGTATAAAACTCAGTCCTTTTATTCTTATACACAATTACAGGAATATTTCATTAGTTTCAATGAGTATTAAGTGTCTCAAAGCCTAATCTAAGTGCACTTCGATTGAAAATGTTACATTGATTGCATTTGCATGCAAATGTGAAAGGTTGTAAATCGCTTTTGACAAGTTTTGCTTTTCACTGCAGACGAATAAGTTCAATCATATAGCAAGGAATTCTTTGCGTAACTCTGTCGAGGAAAACCAAATTTCATGACAAGTAGTTGATGGAAATATGATCATGATAAAATATTGGATTTTATATCCAAATTTTGCTAAACGTAATGAAGTGCCACGTTTTGAAATGAAATGACCTAAATCACGAAGAAGCAGGACTACAACTAACCGAAGATTCAGAGTTTCGCTCGCATCAATTATACTGTGCCAAACACAATTTATTGAAGCTTTCTCGGGTGATATAAAACTGAGCCTGTGGTTATGTTCTTATGGCTAAGTTATAAGCTCGAAAATATTCATCGCTTATTATAGAACCGCATTCAGATAAATTCTTCCGTTACCATTTCCCTACGACGATGAATAACTAACCTATGTTTGGTCTGTGCAAACATTTATAGAGTATCACTCCTGCAACTGTCTGTAATTGCAGTTCCAATCTAATGTTTGTCGAGATTTGCATGTTTGAAGGAAGAGATGTAATCGAAATCAAATTATCTGAACTGCATTCCCACAGAGGTAAACCTGCCAACCCATCAAGTTTGATAACAACGCAGGGCTGTAACGTTCAACAGCGTGTTTTATCTGCAAATATTTGTTTGTTTAACGCTTTTCTGGTAAACTGTCACGATATACCCAACCTAAATATGTATATACAACGGGCCAATACATGGCGTCGCGGTAGCTAGATGTATCAACCTCTATCAACATCGCATTGTCTATATGATTTCCCGCTAAACTATCTAAAACACTAGCTTTAAAGGTTTGAAAGGACAGTATTGTGAGATTTCTCGTATCATTTGCAAACGGTAAACAATTCCTCAGCCTGTGGATATCATATCGAACTAAATCATGCAAGTATGCATGCAATCGAAAAATAAAGGGGAATATTTTCCACAATTTTTATCCGTTCTTTTTCATTTCATTCGCTATTCCTTCCTACAATATTTACGTACTTGCTGGGCTGTATCTCGGAGAGTTTAGCCACGATGAGAAACCATCTTTGATCACACGTTCCTCGACTCCGTTAAGATTTCGCTTGATCGGCTCTGCAAGCGTCAAACTCGTTTGCTGTTCCTTGCTACAGCCGTGCTGAAGAAGACTTTCGACTGAGAACTTGTGTTCGGATTTGCTCGACGTTGGACTCGAGCGAGGCTTTTGTAAATCACGGTCGCACATCAGCGACACAACGCTGAAAGGATGAGGCCTAGGTAGCCTCGATGGCGAGTCGTTGGCATTCCCAGATTCGTGTTTGTGCGTCGACATATCTTAAAGCGTCTTTTGAGTTGAGTCTCTGGGCTTGGCAGATAAGAATGCTCTAGCTCTGAAACTTCATGCCCTGTTGTATGCCCCTGAACGTCTCTGATTTGATACTTCAACCTGCTGTGGCAGTAATCTTTGTTTTAGTTGACGTAAAGGTCTTTTATAAGGAAGTTGACAGGGTGCCCCGGTAATTATGCGTCTTATCACTAAAATTTGTTGTTGATAAACACGGTGCGACCACGAACAACGCTTTGTGCACAATGCCTAAGTGATTGTCATGGCTTATTCAATAAGTCATTGCGCCAAATGTCATGCCTTTGTTTCGAAACGGATATCTCTCGCTTCTTCTTTGAATCAAAACCTCGAGGGCGCTCTGAAATTATCCAGCCTGTAAACTCATTACCCGTTTTATCTGCTTAGAATGTATATTTTACTTTTCAAGTGGTTTGAACTAATTGAACACAACACGATGCGGTCGATGTTCAAAACATCGCCAGTTTTATTTCTCCGTCTGCATGGCCCTGATCGCTATCGTCGGCTCGAGAGTGCATTGTGGATAAGCTGAAGTGGGATACTGGCTGTCGCTGTCTTTGAGACGATAGAACGATCGCTATATTCACACAAATGGACAGTAAAATCGAAGTGTAAATATTCGTTTAATGCAATCAAAAGAAAAACAAATAAATGAAAACATCAGGGGTTCGTAAAGAAAGAGTCCTAAAGAGCCTATTTAGTCGACCAATATACATATGAATGGGCGGTTGACGGATTAAAACCAGGATTCGTGTTGTGGGAAGAGTGGAGCAGAACCAATATGGCGTCGGTTGGCACTGAAGTATGGATCCGGGAGCCGTTGAAACAGTCGCAACTTTTGTCAATCTTTTACCAAATGAGCAAGCAGTGCATGGGCAAGAATACGCTTTCAAATTGAAGGATTTAGACCTGGCATTCGTTCACGAATTTGCTCAGGACAGCCGTTAAAAAAAAGTTTAAAACCCAGACATCCTTATCAACGAACGTCGCATTGAATCTGGTCTAACAACTGCCATAAAAACAGGAAAAACCCTTCTCGACTTTTCGACCTTAAGGACCTTCGGCAGAAGGGCACTCCAGAAGTGTTTTTGCTCATCTTCGGCTATCGTTAGACCAGATTTAATACGGCGTTTTCTGAGAAATGCCTAGCTTTTATATACCACGAATGGAAGACTGTTTCAAAGCATTGGATCAATAAAACCGAGTCTTCCTTTTGAAATTGCTCAATGTCTTAAAAGTGCACAGGTCAAATTAATTCCTTCCAATACTATATATTTCATGTCAGATCTTCAATTTTTTTCAAACCATTTTTTTAAGACGTTAAGGGAATAACTCCAGACGCACGATATTTTAATGCTGTCATTCCTAATCGATCGGGCAGTATAACACATCATTTCACCGGAATTACTGCAGTCGTGAAGATTCGAAAACATAGGGGATAATTAAAAATATACAAATTGCATTATTTTGACAAATGCATATTAAAGTTTAATGTAATTGAAGATGAAATAATCAAAGTAAATTGTTAGATTTACCAAAAAGGCGTCTTCTCCGCCTTTAATTTTGAATCTTGCCTTTCTTAAACGAATGCTTACTTGTAGAATAATATATTTCGCATTTTTCTTGCCCTATTTTTGCTGAATATACTCGTTGCGTGATGACGTTATTAGGGAATTTGAGTGCTTTGGAAGTGAGAAGTGATTTTGTTGTGATTACGGTGATATAGTTTTATTTCCCAAATCAAATTTTCGCGACGAATGTGCACTTAACTTGCAGAGATGAAAATCTCTGGGACAAAACCGGATTTGCAGTGAACAGCGAACAGATTATGATCTGAGATGTTCTTCGCTTGAAACGGCTTTCCTTAAATTAAGATCCTTAATGCGTGTTGATTCGGTCCTCAGTGATATACTAATCAAATATTTATTATTAAAATTAAACTTGAGGGATCGCATAGGCAGGGACAGTGGCAACTTTATGTACACAGTACACTGCTCTAAGCCACGTAAACTAACTTCACCTATATACAAAGGGCCACGCGGAAAATTGTTGTAAAAAAAAAACGAAAACGAGAATACGCGACAAAGTGATCGTCTTGCGATTATCGCCCGATTTGTAATTGACTTTTAATTGCCTAAAAAGGCAAATGCCGATATAAACCTCACCTCGACCTTATTATGAAGAGATTTCATAGAATTCCTTGTAAGATAGAGCTCTGACAGTGACACACAATAAAAATAACCACTCAGTATGAAGCGAAGGATTTTGGTTAGTTTCTCTTCATCATTCGTAAGCCGAAGAAGGAAACGTATCATCCACGCGACATCTCCCCACGATCCTCGAGGCCACGACTTGCATGCATCATCTCATCAGCGCAGCGTGCAGCCGGAAAGCCACTTTAGGTTTTTTATCAATTCAATTACTCTTAACGAATAGTGCTTTTGTGTTAAAAATTCATGTACTCACTTAGAGCCCATTGCATCAAGTGCTGTGTGTTAGCAAATCAAATTAGTCCAAACCCGTTTGCTCACAATGGATTTAAAGAGTTTTCTCAATCGGCCCGCCTTGGAACTAAACACTGCGGTCGGCAGACAATGCGAGAAACTCATTCAACGCTACCTTTCGTAGCTTTAATAATCATTGCTGGTGGAGTGAGGGCTGGAATTATTGTGCAAACAATTGATTATTTGTATTGATATCGGACTGCGCGTCTTTGGACCGCAACAAAGCGCTATTTGTATATTTAATCAATATTTACCCGGCTAGAATCCGTCGAGATATGTCTGAAGTGCAAGTAATACCCTCGTATGAACTGTGAACAAAAGCAAACAGTAGTATAATTGTATGTTTAAACTTGATCGTTGTTGTTCAATATTTGGGACAACGGGGCTTTTTTTTACTTCAAGGACGATTTCCAAATAAGTCTCTTCGAAACTATCTTGTGAACATCAGCGGCGAAATAGATAAAAATCTAAACGAAAAAAAAACTCTTTCGTAGAATGAAGATCTCTTTCAGCACGTTCATAAATTATCCGAAGGATTTATTCGCAACGAATAAAAGGAACTCCTTGGCAACTCTTAATCCAGCGTTGTTTTCGTTGCAAATTAAGACCAATGTTCATGCACAGGCGCTTACTCAGCTCTAGAAATGCTTTTGGTGATCGAAAATCATATGTATCGTGTGTTTGTTTTCTTGAATGGACAGCTAGCTCGTGCATTTTTTTTTCATCCACTCCCTGGAAAGGTTTTGTCCTTCTTCCAAGGGCGGTGCATGATAGCATCAGTGTTGAAATATGCAAGCTATTTTGTTTTTCTCCATGTGTCTGTGAGAATTTAGATAAGTTGCTCGGAAGAGACCGATAGTATGTCTGATTGTCGGTTTATGTAATACTTTGTAACTATAACCACCTTTGTTTTATGTGGTGAATATGTGAATCTATATAACCCTAGTAACGCGCCGTGGTTTAATCTTAATCGATACTCTCTGTTTGTTGAATCTTTTCTTCTTGTTTCCGCGGTTAAAATGGGCAACCAACCTTTTTTGTATAGACTAACTTTTCATTATTGGCTCCATGTATATAAGTTATATTTTGCTTCCCAAAAATCTCCCTATATTTAAATATATAGCTCTCGATTCAAGCCGAATTCAAGTTCAAAGTTCAACTACAAAAAGCCTTCTTCCCTCCGATTGCCTTTTTTAAAATGGTGATAATTTATTTTCTTTGATAATTCTGATTTTTTTCTCGATTTCAGGGCGTGGGAAAAGATATTCGACGTGGAAATGCCCTCCGTGTTTAACCCTGTCTTCACAGTGGCAACAGAGAGACGTTCACAGCATATAAGGTAAAGAATAATTTGTTTTTTTTTAATTTCTAAATTATCTCCCAATGGACTGAATCGAGTTTCCCGAAAACCCCATCTTTCACGCACTAATCAATTATTTTTGTCAAACCACCCACCCATAAACCCCCTCGTTCCTAATACTCCTATTTATAATACCATTCTAAATACCCAAGTAAGCCCTCCCACTATCAGAGAGAACCGAAGTCATATTGTCATATTGTACCTCCGCCAGGGGAATACGACTCCGAGGGCTTTGCGTTTCGGGCAATAAGCGCCATCATTTCAAAAGTACTCTGACTATGTAAAAAAGATGATATTTCAAGAATGTAAAAAACGGAAACACTTCAAGATGTGGTTTAAGTTAAATTATACTTTGATGTACGGATGTTCAAGGAACGCCTTGTTTTCTTTGAATCCATTGTCTAACGCTAGACCCTGTTTACTCAAATCAGTCTATTTGAAAATTGTAACAAATTCGATAAATATTTAGGTAATACTTTTTGGCATAGCGCGTCTCAAACATTCTCAAGTCTGATAAAAACGTTTTAAAGCTGTCTGCCTGAAATATCATATCTCATATATTACCGTTACTATATGCAATGCATTTGAAACGATAACCCTTTACGATAAAAATCGCACGTAATTAATCCGAATTTCAAATGCGAATGTTCTAAATATTTTATTACGAATAACTCGTTATCAGATTGTGGCCAATTACAAGCTAAATTAATTGAGTAAATGGAACTAATGATGACCATAACAGTAGACCTCAATTAGTACAATTAACATCGCACTCAAGAGAAGCTCACAAATTGAAATATGCCTCACGCCACTCGTGAAATGGCGTGCAATCTTCCATTTGTCGATTTGGAATTGTCTCAGCCGTTTTTCATCGTTTCTGATAAGCGTGCAGCGGTGGGAACCAAGTTAGATTTGGTCAATCTGTCCGCATGTATATATCTGCTTCGACACCTCGCCAGCAGGACTAAGTGCAATCTGCTGATAAGTCTATGAAAAATGAGAATTAAATTATATTAGGGTAATTTGTGTTTCGGCCAACACTGCTTGTCTTTCCCCGCCTTTTTTATATGCGAGTCGATTGCACGATAGCGGAAAGACATCTGCCGTAATTAAAAAGCTATATAACTGACGTGGACAGAATCATGAAAAACAATCCTGTAGATGGAAATCTTGATGTTTTTATTCATGAGGGCCTGTCTGCGTTTGCTCGCCTTTGACTGTGGCCGTTCGACAGGAGACAGAACTCTCGCAAGACTCCAAACC